TAGCTTTTCTTTAAAATACTTGTAATTTTTTTTTTTCAAATAAAGCAAGTAGTTTTTCCAGCTTAATTCTTTTTATTGTAAAAGTTGTTCTTAGTCATTACCAGCAAGGGGCAATGAAGAAAGTTGGCGGGTATGACCAACATTTAGCTCTCTTCAACCGAGATAAGGATCTAGACTGAAGAAAGTTGGCAGGTATGACCAACACTCAGCTCTCTGTAGCCGAGATAAGGATCTAGGCTGAAAAAGGTTGGCAGGTATGACCAACATTTAGCTCTTTTCAGCCGAAATAAGAATTTAGGTTGAAGAACGTTGGTAGGCATGACGAACAAATTACCGGGCTCTTGGGCCGGGATAACTATCTCGGCCAGAAAACATTAAACTTAGCAACCGAGCAAAGAGTTCAAACCTAACGCAATTAAAGTTGAAAAATAATTACAAGTAGGGTGTGAACCGAACAAAAAAATTGGAAAATTGCAGATTTCATTCCATTCCATTTGAAAAATGTGCATTACAAGAGGAGGGGCTTAAGCCTGGTTACAAATTCTTTCAAAAGTAAGCATCAAAAAAAGAAAAACAAGATCAAGCAAATAGATCGTCCAAGTCTACATCCAGGTCAACCCGAGCTTCACCACTCGGTAGCCCGGTTCCAGCAGGTAGGTCGGTCACAGGCGCATCATCAACCGTATTTGACACTGGTGGCTCCACCCGAGCTGTCTGACTAGTTTGGAGACCACGATCATTGTTAGCAGATGGGGCATTGTTTGGATCAGGTGATCCTTCTTCCTCCTCCCCCTCTTGGAGAAGCTTTCGTTGGATGGCGTTGGCGTAGTCCGCCATATAACTTGGGATGAAGTAAGGGGGAGGGTTCCGGAAGACCTCGATTTTTGGGCCCTGACCGAGCTTCGCAACAGCAGCCTTCCAGCCACATTTGAAAAAGATGTCTTTTGTAGTTTTGCATTGCAAGACATACGTGGCCTCTTCTTCTTTGTAGCCACGGTCTTTAGCGTCCTGCATGTTCTTTTCAGCTCGGCTATCTCCGCATCTTTTTTCCTTTCGAGCTTGGCCAGTTCGCGCAGATAGCGGTCTTTTCTTTCGGCTAGCGCCTTCTGCTTGTCCGCTTCCGCTGCATTGACCAACTCGGTGAGTCGCGCATTTTCAGATTCGAGCTCGGTCATTTTTTGCTTGGCCTCGTTCAACTCGGCCATCTTAGTGTTGGCGTCTGCCACGGCCAGCCCCCTTGTCTTGCAAAGCTCCAGCACGCGCTTATGAGCAATATGGTTCTTCTGTATGGCCTGCAGAAGGAGAGATAACGATTATGACTAAAATCGAACAAATAGATGTGTAAACTGGAAAACAAATAGAGGGAGCACTTACTAGCACCATTGACTTAGTTGCCGAGCGGATGGCCTTGAGCTCGGTTAAATGGTCATGGTGCTCTATGTCAGATGGTAAGCACACGCTTTTGGCGAGGTTGAAAGCAAACGTATGATCCTTATCAGCCACCACCGAGTCTATGGTGGTAATAGCCCGGTTCTGGTAAGTTATTTTTGGTACCCATTCTGAAGGGCTAGCTCGGTCAGTGTGCATGGGTTCAGGGCTCGGCGGTGTTGTTACAGGAAGCACGCGATCCTCCTCATTAATCAATCGCTGCTGTTCGGTCGAAGAAGTGCCCGCACGCTTGTTCGGCCGAGATGACGAGGCTCGGGTTGTTGGGAGGGCTACCACAGCCTCATGTGTTTGACCAGTTTGTGGTGTCTCGGTTTGAACCCCGCCAGTTGGAGTTGATGTTTGTTCGGTGATCAGGGCTCGAACAGCTCGGCGCTTGGCCATTTCTTGTTCTTCGGTAAAGAAAATGAGGTTGATTTGTGGCAGGTTTGGGTCCGGTTCTGGTGATGGTTCCAGAAGAAAGTCAGTTACCCTAACCTTCCTTCTTCTACTGTATCGATAGGTCGGTTCGAAGTTAAGCAGCTCGGCCTAACCTTGATGACGGTACCGAAGTGCGGCACGAAGAGCATCTTCGTTGGCGTACTGGTATTGTGATTTTAGCTGGTTTAAGTCTGCATAATGAGAAAGGTAACGGTTAGCACGGTGTAAAATTATAGCCTGGAATAGCAAAGCAAAAAGAAAACCGAGGTATCCTTACCAGTAGTCCCCTTATTCCAATTTATGTTATAGCTCGGTATTTGGGCTTCCTGGTCTTCAAAATTACCAGAAACCCAGAAGAAGTCGTTATCATTTACATCTTTATCCGGTGTGTTTTTTTATTAGTTTCTCTCGGTCTCTTCTTACCCTTAAATAATACACCCAACCGTCATCATTTTGGCCGAGCGAGTATTGGTGGAATAGCTCGGCCAATCTGAGGTTGAGACCGAGCTGATGGTTTAGCTCGGTGATGCCGTTTATTATTCTGTAAGTATTGGTGCTAAGTTGAGTTGGGCATAATCTCGTCTGCCTGAGGAACTCGCATATTAGTGGCTGTACAGGGAATCGGAGACCGGCCTCAACAATTGATATTACGGTGAAAGGAACGACGCCCGGTTTTCCCCAGGGTGTGGTATCTAGTTCGGCTAAAGAAAGATGGACGTCGTCGGGAATATTATAGTCCTTACGAAATTCGGCAATGGCCCTAGGTGAGTTTACTAGGAACCGATATTTACCCATATAACTTAAATTGTGTACAAATTAGCACGGTAGCCTAGCTCGGTGTTGAGATGATTTTGAATGTCTTGGTTGAGCGATAGTGCAAAGGTATGTCTAGCCAACCTAGTCAAGTCTGCAAAGTGGAGATAAAAAGTGTTATGCCTAGATCACTAGATCGGGTTAAGCAAGAAGGCAAAATAAATATAACCTTAGATCGGCTAAATAGGTTGCAACCCGTTCTTAGTTCGGTCATAGCACGAGTTTTTAGCTCGGTTATTGAGCGTTAAGGATCTTAGATCGGTCATAACACAAGGTGTGGCTCAAGGTTTTAGCTCAGTTATTGGGTGAGGTTTTCTAGTTCGGTCGAGTACGCACCTATCACAAACAGGTTCCTAACTCGGTCATGGTGTTATTTTAGATCAAAAGGATCGCATTCCAGATTGATTGAGAATTCAACTAAGGTGTGATTGTGGTCTGGGCATGTGGTTTTTGAGTTTTCGTGGTCCTTACCCATTTAAGTGAAACTACAGGAGTGCGTTTTGAAAAACATATGTATATATATATGTCTATACTATACATACACGCGGAATAAACAAATAAGAAAGGGTTCAGCCACTTACAGTTTTAAAATGAAAGGACGAAGATCAGCATAGTGAGGATGCCAGTTAGAACATAAGTTTTGTAGATGCTATGGTCGTAAACATGGAGACTCAGAAGGCAAGGGAGAGAAGATGAACAGTGTGAGTGTTTTGATTCAAAAGAGGGGTTTTTGTATAAAGCACAAAAATGGGCGGGACTGTTCAAAATTTTCGAGGTACAAAGACGGCTGTGATAGTTGTACTTGACCAGTGGGAGCAAGCCACGCGTCTAGGGGAATAGATAACGATTTAGACGTGCTTGAGAGGCGGAACGACGTGTAGAGCAATTGACAAGACGTTTCTGAACCGGGCAAATCGGTAGCTTGGTAGAGAATGAGCTCGGTTGGAGGCTTGGACATTTAGCTTGGCCGATAACGAGTAATCCCAAATCATGCGTTGCAGATGGAATTAAGGGGCAATTGAGAGAGTAATTTGTGCGCAAATTGGGTCGAGATAAGTAAGCCCGTGGGATTGAGCCGAGATAGGTGTATTCAGGGGCCGAGCCATGGACTAAAGTAATTATTTCGGAAGCTCTGGTCATGGTAGTTTGGTCAGGGCTTGGCTATCAGAGTCCGGTCTAGCGGTCGCGGCTAAGGTACATGCTTGAGTTGAACCGAGCTAAAGATAGCTCGGCAGAGTAACTCCAGAGACCTAGTTAACTGAGATTAGCTTGTTTAGCACCGAGCTGTGTGAGCACGACTATGCTTTGTGCCAACCGAAGTAAGAGCCTTACTAGGATTACGCCAGGAATTTGTGATTCCTAGGAGGACTCTACTAAGGAGAATTAGAGTCTTACTGGGATTGTACCAAGTGGAATCTATGTACAGGTATCACAATTTTTACTCTAGAATACACAGAGCTTTTGTGTCTATTGTCTATTTGCTGACTTAGGCATCAGAGAGGTTTCCGGCACACACCCGCCGGCTAGCTCACGTTTGTGTTTTTAGGAAGTAAAGTGACGACGTTTGGAGGAACACAAACTTAATCAATAGAATTATACGAGAAGATTATTTTGTACTCGTACAATAAATAATTATAAACACAACTCGTGCATAGCACGAGTGAAACACTAGTTAGATGTGTATTTTAAATTGTAGGATAAGTGTGGAAATAGGTTGGTGAGTGATTGTCGGAGGTGCAATGATGAGGGATTAAGGTGACGATTGAAGAAAGTAGTGATGACGAATAGCTGGAGTGAAATAGATACTGGAATTAAGATTAACACAATGGAATAAGAGTGTAAATGAAATTTTATAAGAAGATAGAAAAATTATAAAAAGACAAGGGTTCAAAGAAATTGTATGAGTGCTATTAGTAGTACTCACATCAAACCGTGTGGCAAATTTATATCCATTTACTCCAAATCAAAATGACCTATCAAAATGATTTATTTATTTATTTTATTTTAGATGAGATATCAAAATGATTTATTATTTTAAAAATATCACAATCACATCATTTTATAAGAATTTTCATATAAATTTTTTATTTACAAATTATCCTCTGTTGCAAATTAACCGTAAATGTAGGATTTACTATAGCTCCAAAAAAAAAAAAAAACTGCCTATATCCGCTTCACCCCCTTCTCAACCATACAAGCCATGGCTTTTACAACAATGTAAGAAGCAAGAAACATGGTTTTAAGTTACAATATTAGGATATCATATCGATGATTATCCATGGAACTTTAAAATTTCGATACGTGTGAGTCAATTGAAACCCTAACAAGAATAGTTAAACAATATAAATACATAAAACATACATAGAACATTATTAAGGTCGAGGACAGCTCCATTTACAATGTACATTGCTTTTAACCTTGCATATAAGTTAAAGCAAACATAGCCAAATAGATGAAAGAAAATGAAATTGTAACCTAGTTAGACATCTGCTCAACAATACTCTTTAACCATCTATTTTTAACCTTCCAGCAAAATGAGAAGGAAATCTCAACCACTAGAATTAGGTGTAGTAGAGTTGGCGGCCGAATCAGGAGACATTGGTGGAGGGTGTTCCTTCAAAAGCCCAACATCATCATCTATAACGATGTCCACTACCTCCACTTGTTCATTCAAATCTCCATTCTTAATGTCTTTCAAAGCTGTCAAAATTTCTTCCATCGAAGGCCTCATGTCCCTATCTGTTTGCAAACATCGAAATGCTAGCTCCGCTACCAATGTAATCATTCGCCTCACTGAACTATTTGTTTCGAACCCAAGAGACGGATCCACCAATTCATGAAGTGTATGATTTTGAATCTTGTTGATCGCCATGTTCGCCAAGTTAATATCTTGTCTAGTCCTATTGGTGTCAACGGCTTGTTTTGATGAGATAAGCTCAATCAATACTACCCCAAAGCTATAAACATCACTTTTCTCAGTAAGTTGGTAGCATTGGTAGTACTCAGGATCAACATAGCCAGGTGTACCTTGTGGGGCAGTTGAGACATGGGTTACATCGTTGGGGAACAATCTCGACAGCCCAAAATCAGCAACTTTTACACGGAAATTGTTGTCAAGAAGAATGTTGTTGGTTTTGACATCGCGATGTATGATATCCGATGAATGGAGGTAGGAAAGAGCATCAGCTGTCTCTACAGCAATGCTCAATCGGACAGGCCAAGAAAGCAAACCAGGATTTGATTTTTTTCCATGTACATGATCAGCCACTGTTCCATTGGGGATGTATTCATAAACAAGGAGGAGTTCTCGGCTTCGCCTTGATGTGCATCCGTACAGGGTGACAAGGTTCTGGTGCCGCAGACGTGTCAGGATCTCAACTTCATTCATGAATTGTTCTACACGTCTGAAATTGTTCTCGTAGAGGCGCTTCACTGCAACTATGCGACCATCTTGGAGCTTGCCTGATCAAAGAATTGAAAGGACAATTAAAAAAAGGAAAATGAGTGGGAGCTCTGATTAGAGCTACCACTAGTGATACCCACTGCCACAGTTTGTATTGTGTCTGTTTTTATTTTTGCTTTGCCACCTCATTAGTGGTGGGTTTAGAGTCACTAAATTAATAGTCTCTAGTACCACCGTTAAAAAAAAAGCATAACCAAATACTGGACACCTAGTTGTGTAGACTATTGTTGTCAAATTGCGAATCATATTGCTAAAATAGTGAATCGTGAATCGTATCGAATCTTAAGATACATTTTAGTTAGCATGATTTATAATTTTATATATGTATATACATATAGTACTTAAAATAAAATAAATATCAATATAACTAAATTATATATATGTACATACATATAAAACCACTTATTTTAATATAATTAGTTGATCGCTGTTTTCATTTTGTGAAAACGACGCCATTTCATACATTATGCAAACATAACTTAATCACTATGAATCACCATGAATCATACTGAATTGTAAGATTTCCTCAATCGAATCATTTTGCTTAAAACTTGAATCAAATAGAATTGTGAATTGCACGATTCTAACTACCATGATGTAGAGACCTATAAAGACATGAAAGGAATTATACCATAGTACACTGTGCCAAAGCCTCCCTCTCCAAGTTCTCTAGATGGGTCGAAATTGTCCGTGGCTTCTTCTAGTTCAGTGTAGCTGAAGACCTGAACTCCAAAGTAGGTGCTTGTGCTCACCATTCCAAACTCAGACTTTGAGGAGGGATAAGATGGCATGCTTTGGGAGAGATTAGTTTGAGGAGTAATAAGGCCTTTGTTTAGAGAAGAATATGAAAGATCTTTGCTTGTGGATTGGGCAAGTTGGGCAGCAACACGTTTCCTCCGTCGTCTAATAGAAAAGTTGAACCATCCTAATAATCCAACAAAAGCAAGGACTGCTGCACCTGCTACGGAAAGGGCTGGAAATGGAAGAATATAGTTAAAACTCTTCTTTATAAGCTATGAACCATTTGGAAACAGCGCAATGTGTTTTTAAACAGAATGATTTGATACCTATTGTTAACTTTTTTGATGTTGAAGAACTGCTCCCTGCAACAAACATGAGATCCAAAAACATTAGTGGAAACATAAAAAGACCAAATCAAACTGAATAACATGATCATAAGTAGCTAATTGATATTATCCCAGTTACTTTCTGTGGGAAACTGATCTACTTGGACCCTTTTTATCAGAAGGAAACTTAGATTGTAACCAAGAAATTCATATAGACCCAAAAACCATTCAGTTCGGAGGATCAAAAGAATAGAAACAAAGGAAATTTATGAAAATATCTATTCTAGAGAAAATAGAAAGGCCCATGAAACCAAGAAAGGCATTTTCTTGTCCGCACAACGAAACAATGGAATCAAAGGGCGCATTTCATCTGGATGCTCTTTTACAACCCCCCCCCCCCCAAATTGGTTTGGTAAAAAAGCAATGGAACAATTTTCCAACTCTTATACTTTTGAGGCTAGACATGAACTCAAGATATTTTTCTAGCAGTTGCACTTTCTCCCAAGCAAAGTATCAAAACATCAGAACTCTGCCTCAAACTATTTCATATTGCCAAAATTAAAATGATATGAGAAGCCTGGCTTTTTTTTTTTTTCTTTTTTATAATAAGTTTGAGACATTACTCATGAAGCATTGTTGTGAACAATATCTAACCAGGAGCTACTCTAAATCAAAACCCATCCTAGATTGTTGGGTAGCAGTTTCAAGAGTCCAACAAATAATTAAAGAGAAAAAATGTTACAAAATCAAAACAAACTGGAGTGTGACATCTCACATAAATCTAATACATGTGCAACGAAATCACAGAAACTTTGGTGACCAAATCTCTCCCTCTCTGTTTAGCTATTTCTGTCTGTTTTTCATTTTAGGTTTTTTTATGAGAAGAAAATTTGAGGTATTAAGAATCAATCATGTTTGTGAATATCGAATTGACTACGAAAGGTTTGTAAAAGATGAGTGTTAACTAAATCAACTGTAGAAGAAGTTGTTAGGCTTGAAGTGTAACTTTGTACTTTATGAAGAAGAAAACAAACTAGACTAAGTAAATCAACCACAAAATACACATTAGATAAGAAATCAATCACAATCTAAAACACATTTCAATTCTACTGTGAAGTAAACTAGAATCATCAAGTTATTCTTAGCAACAAAAAGAATTAACAACTTGATCACCAAAAAAACTATAAAAAGTTTTGAGTACCTGTTATTCTAGCCAAAAGGGTTGACCCAAATTGGGATTAAACCCACATTGGGCACCAAACAAAAGTGCAATTTGAAAACCCATTAGGGCATGGATTAGTATAATTCACATTAAAACCCATCATCAAAGCTAAATAGATTGTAGGGATTATAATTGATAAGCGAAAAAATAAAACCATAGAACAAAGTGAGATCTTTGTTCTCGAAACCATAGCTGAAACAGTTGAATTGAAGTGTAGTTCTAGAGGTCTGACATGAGGACTAGGATCTGGTGGGTATGGTTTATTTGAAGAACTCGGTATGTGATTGAGTCAGTAGTTAACTCGACGTAGTGGTCTAAAGAAAGAATGAAGAATTATTTACACAAACATTTTTATTTAATCAGTAGAATTTAGTAAATTTTCAAATGTATTATTTTTTTAATAAAGAATTGGATATCAAATAAATTTGGTTTTAGCTTTTATTTATTTATTTTGTAAATACAATTTTTACCAATGAGAAATGTTTTTTTCTATTTTGTTGACTTTTTTGATAACTTTTTAATACGTGTTTTTATTATAAAAAATATTAAATTTTAGGCTAAATAACATATGACCCCTTAAGAATGGACTTTTTATCCATTAATTGTACTTTTTTTTTTGTCTTAGATAAGTTTTTAATATTTTGATCAATTTGATTTTACTTTTTATATTAATCTGATCTAGATGCATTGAAAAAATAAAATATTTATAAAATAATTTCAAAAAAATTATTAAAGACAAAAGATATTATTTTGTTTTATTTTTTCAAATTTTTATAAATAGTTTTACTTTTTAAGTGAAAAATAAAAACCTTTTAACTAAAATTTAAAAAAATATTCATGAAAAACAACAAATAAAAAAATAATTTATAAAAGCTAAAGCAAACAAAATGAACAAATTGAAACATCATTCAACTTTGATTATGTGGAGAGAAAATAAATAAAAATTAACCTAGTCAAATTCAAAATTTAGACAAATTGTTGTGCCAAACAAAAACCAAGGAGTCAAAAGTACTTTGGGAAAAAGAAAGGAAGAAACGCCCTCCTGGAATGGATGTGGAAAGTCAAAAGTTATAGAGGTGTTTTTGTTCAAAAAAAACTTAGAGGTGTTTAAAATCATCTAAATAAATATATTTTTTAATTTTTTATAAAATATATATATATATATATATAATAATGTAATTCAAAAAAACAAAAAAAAAAACATAAAAAAGTATGCACCCTAACCACTCTTATTAATAGGTTGATCAACCAACAAACCTCTTTCAAGGGGCAGTTGGTTTTTGACCAAGTCAAAGACAATTTAGTAGTTGATAGGTGTACCACATAACAAGAAAGTTGAATAATTTATCCTGTCTACCTCTCCAAAAAAAACTAATTGTTAGGTATTTACAATAATTGAATTAATTTAATTTTTTTAAGTAAATGAACCATGTGCAAAGAAATTTACAACTTGAAATAGAGTGAAACTTATAATAGACCCTACAAAAGATAACAACGGTGATTCGATATTTTAACTGGGATAGAGAGAATCTCTTTCCCACAAAACTACTTGAACTCAACAAATTTATTGAATACTCAGATTGAAACTTACTAAAATCTTGACACACAGATTCTATCTATTATATCGAGAGCAACCCAAGGGGTGGCTGAGCATTTGAGTTATTTCAAGGGGCCGTTTGCCTGATTGTTAACTTTAGAGTTTTGAAATTAATGGAAGTGTATCCAAACTAGTCCGGATATCTGATTATCAAATATATATATATATACCGAGAGCAGTTCTGTAATTTGATCAATGATCATGTAAGCCTATATGCAGACGTGGCACAATCTCTCAAAATATAAAAGATATTCTAGACTACAATGAAGCCCTCAAAGGAAAACTTTTAGCTCTTTCAAAATAGTTATATAGCCTAAACAGTTGAGACACAAACCAAGCTATCATCCAGAGTCTGATGTGATCACAAAATACCATCCAATCAAGGCCAACTGATAGATCTCACTATTTTCCCTTTTTTTAAGGACAGAGATTGAAATTCAATCCATGCCTAAAAACAAGCAATCCAACCCTAGTCTCAATTCCCATAGAACAGTTTGAAATTACTTCGATAAAGGTCTAGTGATCCTAGACTGTCTAATATCGATATATAACTGTATTACACTAAACAAAGAGTTATAAGGTTAGAAGGGGGCACATACCGGTTACGCTTGGAGTTGTGTTGCAGGTAAATGCATAAGGTTTATCCGAGCAATAACAAGCAAACGACCTAGAACTAGTGTCGGATCCACACTTACCTCCTGACCCGATGCATTGGTCACAGACACTACTATTAGCATCCCACTGCAACTCAACACCACTGTCAAGAACTTGTGTCACAGTAACTGAAGTTGGATTACTAGCAAAAGCCGTGGCTTCTGTTTGATTAACTTGAACACTGACAACCTTGTGACAAGAAGTAATGTCCACGTTCGAGGCGGTTATCAAACCCGGAAAACCTAGTGTGTTGGTCGTGCCATCAACACTACAATCAAACTGGCCAGGAATGGTTGCAGCAGGAAGTCTCGCGCAACCGTAGTAGAGCATGAGCTCCTGGGAGGATACATAGGTGAAAGGGGTGTTATCTACAGTGGCATTAACGAACTCTTTAGGGCAAATATTTTCCCAGAATTCCTCTCTAACGACCTTGAGAATTTGTGTTGAATCATTGATTGTAAGGACTCGATATGGTCTTGTTTGGATTGTGATCAGTGGTGCATCGCCTGTGCAGTTTAGGCCGAAGCTCGGGTGGCCACAGTAATCTGGGCTGCTCCCTCCCCAGAAAGGGTAAACGAGGTTCGATTTGTCTGCACACTGAAACGCCTTACCGCAGTTTGTGTATTGCTCGTTTTCAACACACGAAAATGTGGGGATTTGGCTTAAAATTATGATCATGAAGAAAGTAACAGAGATTGGGAAGATATGGGGATTCAGGGGATTCATCTTCAAATTCAACACACACAGATATGAGAGGAAATTAAGAAAAACCTGAAACTACCCAAATGAAAATCTACTCAAAGCTGAGGTATGAAGATGAATTGATTTTTGTTTTTGTTTTTATTTTTAATTTTCATTAATGTGATGAAAGCAAGAAAAAAGTGACATTTGACAAAGTCAAATATGAAATTTTCAAAGAAACAGAGAAGCTTCTGTTGGAATGAGGATAGTTTAAAGAGTTAATCCAATCTTATTTATATAAAAAAATCAATGTAGTGGTTGTCTTTATACGAATTGTGAGTTGATTTTGTGTGCAATGGCTTTTAATACTTTGAAAAAAATAAAGGGTTGCAAGAAAATTTGGAAATTTGTCTAAGAAAGTCAAACATGTCAGCCTCTGAGTTCTATTTTCTATATATAATTCAGGAATTCATGAGCAGGGAAAATGTGATGTTGATAAAAATATATGGTCAAAACAAAAACTTGGTAGCGTTTGGTTTGTTTTCCCGTCATAATTTAGATCAAAAAATAAAAAAATATTTACAAAATTTATAATCAAATAAAATTTTTAAAACTCTTTTTAAAAATTTATTTAAAAAAAACTCATAATCAAACAAGTTATTAATACTCTATTTTTTTTTTAAAAAAAGTTTCAATTATATTTTCTATATTTTGAAAAAATATATTTTTTTATTTTTATTTTTGAAAAAAATATTTTTTCATTTTTTAAATTTTTTTCAAATAAAATATATTTTTTTATTTTTATTTTTGAAAAAAATATTTTTTCATTTTTTAAATTTTTTTCAAATAAAATATATTTTTTTATTTTTATTTTTGAAAAAA